ATCAGAACCTCAAATAACCCCTAAACGCAAGTTTTCAGCAAATTTGGTGAAAACACCCTTGGCGCCAAATTGGCGCCAAATAGCGCCAGCGCCAAAAATGAAGGTCATATTCGTTATCAGGGCATCGGATTACCCCTACGGGCGAAGTTTCATCGAAAATTAAATTTTTGAGTTTTTGGGGTTGTAATAATGGAATAGTACCCATTTCCGTCTATCACCTTCATGGTGAGAATCTCTTTGGAAGAAAGTTCCAGACAAGTTGATGTCCTCAAAAATGTGTTTTGTAGATGTCTTCGAAAATGTGCTTTGGAGTTCAAGGGCATTCATAAGAACTAAGGTTATTGAAACGGGTTGAAGATGAAAACAATCTTAGTGTTGACCAAATTAAAATCGAACATATTTGCACGAACGCTGGGTAGTCCTAATAAGCTGCTAGTTGAAGCAGCGGTAAGTTGCTTTCTGGGAAGGCAAGAGAGGGAAAGTGTTCGATGGGTCGCCAGCAGCGGTGAAGGTTCCGTTCATACTTCGCGTACCGCGGTTGAAGTATAAACGCTAGATACGCGCGACTACCTCCCTTCTATGTTTGCTGCAAAAAAGTGTTGGTAGATGCGCCGACGCTGCATTAGATCAGGTAAGTCAAGTGCTCTTTAATGGCTCTCTAGTCCGTCTGCCCAGCCAGCAACTTATTTAGCTTCATGGTACGTGATCGATTGTTGATAACTTGAAACTCTTCGCTGTGTGTTACGTCAGTTGTGCGGGACCGGTAACTTGGAGTTCTATTTCATTTGTTTTTCCCATCGAAGAAATTGTGAAATTTCGCTGAGTATCAGTCATCGAAGAAACAGGAGCCAGTCGACAAGCTTGAATTGCTTGAACACGCGTTCATTTTTGGGGTGACGCTATGATTCCGCGTTATCGATCGCAGCATCGCGTAAAGCGTTGCGTCACGTGACGCGGGCGAGGACGCCGTCGCCATTTGGCACACAGCAACCCTGACAAGGACCCTTATCGCGCGATTTCCGCTATAACACAGGTTTGAAAGGAATTTTGAAAAGAGGAAGGGGAGGGAGAGATAGGAGGTTGGGAAAAAGGTATTTCGTGGGACGAACAGTGTGGCGTAGAGGCAGCCGATGAATTAACCCACTGACGACCATGCAGTCCACATGTGGACTGCAGTTGTATTTTTTGTTTTATTCATCTATATTTCAACTTTTTTGCAGTTTTTCTATTCGAAACATTACATCAGGTCTAAATGAAACTACATAAAGCGTGATCCTGGAAAATCTTCTAATTTTGCAAATGTAAAGGTGTTTTTTCAAAGGAGTACATTACCTTGGTGAATTTTTCGTTCGTTGAACAACTTCAAAAAATGAGATTTATCGAAAACACGGTCGTCATTAGCATTTTGTCTGTCATCGACCAAATGCAGAGCTTGTAAAAGTTCCCCCAAAACGATTACTGGTAATGATTGAACTGATAATTGAATGACCACTAGACTGAGTGCCGGTACTATAAAAAAGAACAATAATCACTCAGTGTGGGCATTCTTTTCAAATCCATTCGAAGGAACATTCCGAAAACTTATAAATATTTCTTATAAACTTCAAAAAAATGGTCATGCTGGACCGTGAGAGTGGACGAAAAGCGCGCCGGTCCCTTGCGGCAGTTTTCCCGCAAAACGCCATGGTCGTCAATGGGTTAAGCCACCGGAAGAAAATGTTCTGATAATGGCACGGGGAAAGATGACTGCTTCTGGCGAAAAAGTAGTGGGAAAGGGGAATTGTGCATGGGTCTATTACGCTAACTATCCATTCTAGAACCTATGGGGAGCCGGCTGAACGTTGAGCCAGTGGGTTGGACATTTTCTTTGAGCCGACCAGGAAGTGGACTAGGGTAGGCAAATTAGACGCTATGAGCAAAAAGTTTGGTATTGGGTGGGGTTGACCAAATATTGATTGTAGAATGCTGTTTCTATGAGAGAGCGCAAACGTGAAAGTGACTACGAGTGAGCCGAACCCTATATTTACCCTTCTTTTCCTCCTTCCTTTATTTCCTAAGCTGGTTTCAAGACGGCCCGTCACTTGCATTTTATTGCTTTCTTAATTTGACTGGGTCTCTACAAATAAAAAATAACTATATAACATCCTTTCCCAGAATTTTTCAATACGGTGCGAGCTATAAATGTTCTATACCTATTAGGCTGGCAATCAAGTAGCAGCGTTTAGCTCAGGAGAGTGTAGTTACTCTCTATCTTGGCAATCAATTACTCAGGTTCCTCACTGCGAATGTAAATAATTTTGAAGAACTGCCAGTACCCTAAGATAAATTTTTGAAGCACCTGGAGAAATACGCCGTTATTTAGTTGCCAACCTAATAAAGTACTCTTCTGGATTATATAAATATGCCCTATTACAGAAACAGCATACTGCAAAGACTGGAAGGATGTATTGTTGAACAACCTGTATGCGTTCGAAGATGTTTTGTCAATGTGGAGCTGTCGGTGAACTTCTTGTCACAATGGCTGCATTGGTACGGCCGTTCGTTGGTGTGAGTTCTGTAAATCAAACTGATTTGGTTTCTCTTTCAATGGATCTCTACAGACATTCTGAAAACCATTAGAAAGTAGAGCATCAGGGAATTAGAACGGGTGTTTGCTATTGATTTATTCGGCAATCTGTAAGAGATGTTGGACACCGCTAGAGACACCTTTTCTAACTCTTGTTTCAAGTAATGGTTTTAAGGAAGTTTGCAAGGTTCCCTTGAGGGTTAACTTTAAGTTTTTTTCGCTGGAGTAGCCGCATAGCTTAATTAGGTTTCATATGAAGCCATAAGGCACAGAACTACATTTCATATCTAAAGTTGTTGGTCTGCAATTTTTGATATAAAAGTATTTCTGTGCCCTCTGAGTTCATATAAGATTTTATGATTTATGTGGCTCAATTGAAAAGGGATGAGCTGGCTGACTACTCTGTGATAAGCATCGCTGTTGTTTTTCGCTTCATTATACTTGCTTCGAAACCACCAGCTATCAGCTCGTGTGATTTCGCTTTGCCAGTAAAACTTAACGCGGTTGGCAGCAATGTCGAGTTTCAAATGGTCTTTATATTGACTACTTGTTTTGACAAATCAAGTTTTGTCTCATGGCTTATCCTTTGCTTCAAGTCTTTTTTCTCTTAACATGTTTTCCTTTTCATCTTTTCTTTGCTTTTGCTGCTCAGGCAGCAAGTGTTACTTGAGTTCTCATGTCGCTATCCCAAACCTATTTGAGTGTGGTGGCGACTAATGCTGATTCGGCTGAACGTGGAGGGGAGGGGTCTTTGGAATTGTTGGATTTTTTTACCATCTAATTCATATTTTATCGAGGTGAATCGTTAAGGCGTCTTTTATATATGAAATTGAACGGGAAGCGGTTCTCAACTCCCGCTTCGGACACTGCTTAAATTCTCATCTCTTTATCCCTTTTTAAACATATGCGATTATTTAATTGATAAGTTTTGCACCATTATAACCATACCTAAACCTAGTATAGAGCTCTGCCTTTCTTTTCAGTTGTGTAAATACACAAAAAATTTGACTATTTTCAAAACTTCGTTAGGTTTAGGAGGTTTTTTAATGTATTTCAGTAGGAAAACGCTTTGGTCTTACACATTAGTCGAGTTTAAGACCTATATTTTCAATGTTGAACCTTTTCCATGGGTAAGAAACCTATGCTTTTTTACGTAGGGACATAACCTCCTAATTCTTAGGGTTCAACAAGAGAGATTCCAGAAATGAAACTATGCGAATTAGTGGTTCATGTTATTGAACCTTATGGCTCCTTACTTTTGTACGATACTTCTGTGCAGGCATATCGTAGCACAGGCATCGTAGAGGGCCTTGCACCTTAACTCACTCTCCACCTTGGGTATGAAAGCCGACTGGCTGAAGTCCGTTACCTCTTTCTCAGAAGGGAAAGGGAAAGCTGACATCAGCTCCAAAGTGAGTGGATTCATAAAAAGGAAAGGGTTATGTACTGCTCGTAATACTGTCGCACAATTGACGCAGCTTCATGCATTACTCCTTTGTTAACTGTATCGTGTTTATAATGTGCACAACCCTTCAATATCATTTTTCAACATACAAAGTTGTAACAGATCGAATTCCTGCTTTTCGTTCACTATCACTAAATTTAGTTGTTTCGATTCAGAGGTTTTAGATGAGTAACACTTCCCATCGCTTCTGGGCAGTAGCAATTTTGTTCCCTTTTTGATAAGAGTGATCATTAGGTGCAATTGTGGGAGCGACTATAATAACGGTTGTCATAAATGCCTTCAAATTAAGTGAAAATAAATAGTAAATCAGCCATATCCATGGGCAACTAAGGTGACTGCTTATGGAATAGTTCTCATGTTGGAATAGTTCAATAGTGCTGACTAGAACGTTTGCCAGGGGTATCCCGTCACTGCGAACTCTATTCGACGAGTTAGTCACCAATATCGAGGGGGGACGTGCGATTCGTGCGATTCTGGGCGCGCGCGGCAAATTACGCGGCGAAATTCGCGGTGATTCAAACAACTCTTGCGCCTATTTTTGGAGCACAAACTTGAAGCAGAGTAGATCACTAGGATCAGCTGACCANCGCACTCAAAATCGCACGAATCGCACCACACCCCAATATCGAGCGGTCCTGCCAGAGTGAATAGGAATACTCCCGAAATTTGTCTAATCTTTTCTGAATGAAGCAGGGTGGCAAGGTTTGTAATGAACGGTACCACACTCGCCTGAGAGGCTAAAGCACTGACTTGTACATCGGGTGGCCACCGCAAGTCATTGTATAGGCTACGTAAGCATTCATTACGCCACTCACTACGATTATGAATGGAAATCAGATGCCGTGGACGCACTCCTCTGATGGGATTGATTAACGCCAAAAACTTTATCGTTTCATCCTTTTAATAATGAAAAAAACTTTGAAATCAGAATAGCTGCTCTAATTTTCAGAGAGCTTGATTGTAGACATTTTCAATATACCGATAGGAAAGTTTTTTATTCTCCTAAATAATCACTTCTCATTTTTTGTGACTGATAATAATTTGAAAGTAGAATAGTAATCAAAATCAGAATCAATCTGCTGAGATCTGAGAAGGAATCATCAAATCTTTTTTCGACATCAGGTGAACGGGTAAATATTGGGTTGATGCAAAATTATTGCGGATTTTTTTCAACAAATTTTTGTTACGAAACGATAAAAATACTGAACAAAAACATGTTCAAATAACTACTCCGAAACAAATCTCCATCTAGGTCAAGCACTGCTTCCCATTTGCTAGGTAGTTGGTTTTCCAAGGCTGACAAGTTTCGATTCTTGGCGGCGATCCACGCCTTGACATCGGCCATCAAGTCATCCAAATCGACGTAACTTCTATTCCCTAATCTTTTTTTCAACGAACGGTTGACGAGATAATCCATAGGAGCTTCTGCTGGTGAATATGGCAGATTTAGGGGCAGATCCCATTTCTTGGTTGGCTTTGGCTGATTGTTCCATCACCGAGTTACTGATTGTGAGATCGCGGAATGACTCTGCCAAATTCCAACCTTTCTCGAAGTAGTTGAGCCTAATTTCGCGAATATGCGGATGGTTTCTTGAGTATGCTCTTGTAGAGGAAATCAAGTAGATCATTTCTAGAGAAANAAACCCGAACTCAATATTCAAATTCTGTCGAGAGAAAAAATCCGCAATAATTATGCATCAACCTAATAGTTCTCGTGGTTCTTGTTCTTTCACAAGAAAGGAATTAAGCCAGCGCTTTTCCAAATACCATTGATCATAGCTCCCTTTCTACTTACAATTAGTCGGTTTTTTTGCACCCTTTGCGCATACGCTCATGATTGAGTCCATAGGTACAGTAACCGTCATTTTCAAATCTTCACATTGTTGTTGAAAGTAACTCTTCAATGCAATAGTGATGAAGACCTGCTCTGGATGAAGAAAAGAAAAGAAAAGTGATTTTCTTTTGTAGTAAACGGGTGCACTTTCGAGGTCTTAGAAATAAGACTCCCAATTGATCACTATCCCTCAGAATGATGATTCTTTGTGATAAAATTGGAACAGTATTTCGGGAACAGATAAAAGCAAGTAAAGAATGAGGAGACACTCAGCATTTCCGTTGAGGAAACACTCAGCGTTTCTGTTTAATAATGCCACTTCCGACAGCACCAATCTGTTACTGAAAGTCGAATCCGAAGAGACCGATCCTCGGAAAACCTGCATGGTAGGGACGCACGCCCTCTGTTCATCCAGTAAAGGGGGAAGATTGGTAGAACTAATTATATGCCAGAATGACGTTGACGTTTCCGTTTCGAGAGAATTGCGCTGGTGTGTTGCATTTAAAGATCTTGGTTATTCACTGAACGTGAGTGAGGGAATTGATCATCACCTATCAAGAAAAAGGGACTCTCAAATCTTCCCAGCGCTGGTAGGAACTGGTGGCAATGGCTACTGTTGCATACAGAATGATCATAATTTCATTACACCAGTTGGGCCGCCCGGTTTACGCCGGGCCCTCATTCCTTACATTTATTAATCAGTTAGAAATGCCCCCCCCCCCTTAAGTGTAGAAATGTAGAGGGATGTAGGATAGAGCTGGGTTTTCCATATCACTCTCTTATCGTCATCATAATTTTTTGCGGACGGACACACCGACATACCGACATACCGACATACCGACATCCGTTATACCGCCAAACACCCAAACCGACAAACCGACACACCAAGTTTCTGTTTTATAAATGAGAGAGATAATAAGAGAGATAGGGAGTTTCTTCCAAGCCCTTCATTGCACCCAGTCTCCACCATAACCTATGAATGCGACCTTATATCACTTTCTCGTTTTCAGAACAATTAAGGAATATTGGTTTTATGACATGAATTATATTGAATTTTTTATTATTATGCTGATCGTTCAAGTTGAATTCACTGGTTGATGTCCTCATAAGATTACAGTGGCTGGGCAATCGTTCAATTTTTGAGGGATGAGCTAAATAATCCGATAAGACGGTAATCGTTTATCTAGGCCATTAGCATTGAGGCACGGGAACGCCCGCTGGTTGGTTTCTATGGCTACCGTACTCAGACTACCGTAATACGCGAAAAGATGTCATCGAGCCTTATATGAAAATTCTTTGAAGCGCACCAAACAGTGAATTACTTCATTACACGTCATTACAAATCACTCATACCATCAGTTCCTTCGCCATACATTTGTTTTGCAAAGTCTCCTTTGTCAGATCAAGAAGATGGAAAATGCACAAGAAATGAGCTAAACAAGGTTTGAAGGCGGAGCGTAGCGCTGCGACGATTGCCTGTCTTGCATTCAAGACTGAAAATTTATTAAGAACTCGGTAAGGAGTGGATGTCGTTGGTTTTTGGGGAAAGTTTTAAAGGTAGGCGCTGCATAAGCACTGCTTGGCAAAAGTGGGAAAAAAGAAATGCTTTTGTTCATGGCTCATGTTTACCCTTGCATTCAGTTATCGTAGTAGGTTTTCAAAGTAGAGCAGCAGAGTCTGTCTGGAAGACTTAGAGACCTTTATCTGCAATTACAGCAGTCCTAAAGCTCTGCCATCGGAATCATGAACTTTCTTTTTCTTTCGTGCAACGGTGCGGTATGGCATTTTTATCGAACATTCGATGAGGTGTTTTCAAAAATTCAACTTCAGTCTTGACTGCTACTGTACAGTTAAAGTGTGTTTTGGAAGAACTGGTTGCTTGCTTACCTTCTATGAGTGACGAGCGACGAGCTTTGTGAAAATTGCCGATTGCATATGAGACAGGAAAAGGGTCTTTCACCTAGAATATGTTTGTAGCTGCCATTGTAAGAAGACTGTATACGAATGAAACTCCTGCGTTCGCGAGGGCATTGATAGTTAATAATTTCGAGACATCACGAAGTGATTGATTCGTGATTTTAATGATTATTATAACTCCAACAAATATAACGAAGCAAAGTTCTAATCAAGGAGATCGGGAAGTGTGCTCGAGATAAGATTAGCCCAAATTTCCTCACCAGTATGGACCCGTTTGTGAGCAGTCAGATTCGCAGCTTGAGAGAACGATTTTCCGCATAGCTGCAATTATTATTTTGAAAATTTGATTTGCTAATCCCATTGTAGAGGGCGGTACCTGACATCTGAACGGCTTATTTGCTGGAATTTCCCGTGCTATCGGTTTCAGTATTGACGGTTTTATTTGGATATCACTTGTCATATCCATATAGCTGCAAGTAGTATCATCACTCTGCTTTGATGATGCTGACACGACAATCAGATATTAGTTGTATGTGGTATCTCAGAGAATAGTAAAGGTTTGAAGTAATTATAGTAGCATACCCATAGGTTCGATGTTCGGGTGGGAGCGTGTGTAGGATCTGCGCTGGTGGTACCCATTCGGTAGGACGAGACCAATCTGGACGCCATCCATACGGTATGCTGAAGTTTAGAATCCTGTACGGTGTTGGGTATCAGTGATAGCTTTGTGGGTACCATGAATGCTTGAAGCAGTGTGAAACGACTAGTGAGTGCATAGCAGGGACTATTCAACATATGAAAATAAGGAAAAGAAGGGAATAATTTTCATTGTTGATTTTCAACCCCAACTTGAAGGATAGAAAGTGGAGGAAGTAGGCTTCAGATTGATTCAGAGAAATGCTAGCCACTCGGTTAGTCGACACAAAATGCAATGGTATACGGCCTCGGTGAAGTCGTATCATGTAATAAGAGCAGCCCTGCCGATTTGGAGGTTTCCAGCGAGGTTTGACCTCGAGGCTCACTGCTGAAAGCTTTCCCTGTGCTACACGTGTGAGGGTGAAACCATTGAAAAGGGCGCTTCAAGTGTTTCCGAAGGTATCGAAGAAAAAACAACTTACACTGGCTCACCGCTAAGCATAGGTTCTGTAAGCGGTGCTGGTGGCGGCGGCGGAGGATAGAAGTCGTAAGGCGTTACCGGAATCGGATTCTGGTATCTGGGATCAAAAAACTCGGCTCGTTCGTAGCTGCTGTAGGATGCCATCGTACATGCAGTGGAAGGTATGGTGAGCGAATGATGAAGCAAAATGAACCTGGTTGTGTGTGTGTGGAGAGATAGAGATGTCTCCAACTACAGTATGCAGGTGACAGGGATGCTTAATCCTCTCGGTTAATCTCACCTGTTGTGGGCTTCACCTTCGCTGCGCTAAATTCTCAATAATTGCTACACCTCACGGATTAGCTAAACGAATTTCAACCGTCAGGCTGAGATTCTGGAAGAATGGTAGCTGATAACGCTGGGCTAGTCATTATCACGATGTTTTGACGTTGATATTACATTTTTTTTCACGCCATAAGGGTGTGGCAACACAATTATTCGATTATTCGAATAACGATTAGTTACTTAAATTACCAACACGGATATCCCTTGTGAAGGTTGTAAGCACCAATACTCGTTCATCTTTGCGTGAGGTCCACAGCCGATACGAAGTTCGAAACCTTATAACGCCCTATCTATGCCGTTTTCCCATCTGACAACGCGACATGTATGTGGGCGGGTGGCATATTTAAGAGATATCTTAGAAACCATTTTAATCTTGATCTTTGCCTCTGAGGCTCATCATCAGGATTGGAATAAGATACATTAGTTGGCTTGTTGAGAAACATTGCGAAAGTTACTTTGAATCCCAGCCAGGCTTTTGACTTCTTCATATTTGAAGATGGGTCACGATCGTGTCAAATTTCCAACGATTTTTTCTTATTAGCAGTCCAGGTGCTTAAGTGATTTTTTACCATTGATATTGATATTGCTGTATCATCTGTTCGATTCTCATATGGAGCCTTGGCTAAGTTCAACAAGCCTTTTATGAACGAAATACGGTTGATCATTTGAAGTATTTATTCACCAGTCGGATCGCCTAGCTAACACCGGGCTCTCCTCCTTCTTATGTAGTGTCCGGCTACGCCGGGCATCCCCCTTTTAATGTAATAGGGACATAGATTTGTACAAACAATCTGGCATTTCCTTTCGATCTATATAAAATAAAACTATTTTATTCTAATAATGACTAACACTTTTTATAACCAAGAATCTTTGTGACCTGAGTCCATACATTACAAAAATTTTGACCCACTTAAAAGAGTCAGACTTAGTGAGACCTTCGAAATTGCTTCACATCCGCGGGAAGATAAATTTTCTTACCTTGCCTTGCCGAAGAAAATAGCCTT